CTGAGATTATCAATCATATCAAATAGATTTATTTTTAAAAGGCTCATTTCAGATTAGATACACAATTTCAGTATAATATTTTCGTTTGTTTTTACAGCTCAAACTAAACTGAAGTTCATGGACATCAAATTAGACCAGAATGTCACTTCAAAATCTTCATATCAAATCAAAAAGATCAAATTTTCTCTATTAATCTATTGCAGAATTCTCTGGAATTATTTGGCCGTATGGAAGCACTGCAAACATATCTCTCCTCCTAGTTTCATATTGAGCACCTCCTCAAAAATAATCCCATTGTTGGTTGCTTAAAATGGGTGGCTTGTTAGGAGGTGTGTTCCATGATGTTCTGCTGGTTAGTTGGCTATTAAGGTAAGGATCTCTTTCTGATATTCTCTTTATTGGTTTAAGGATGGTGTTTTTTGCAGAGATAATCAGTTTGTCTTTTATTACAGGTTTACAATGACATCCTCTGGTAAGTCTTTAAAAACAGCATCCAACAATGACATCACACCACTGTACATTCAACAAGAAACAACAAGTAACTTAATATTTAATGTGCTGCTTGCAAAAATGATTTGAATTTTAAAGCAAAAAAAAAATTTCTGTTCACCTAGTTATGCCAAACCAAAAAAATTGAACAATAAGATAGCATAGCTTTCATAAAAATCTCAGTTGATCTGTAATTTGTTATTTGGTTCATCTGGGGTTTGGCAGTGATGTTCTGTTGAATGAGTGTTTCCCTTTTGTGAGGACTTCCATCAGTGAGCAGAGATGATTGCATGAATCCAGTACAGTAATGTGACAATAAACGCCATCACCTGCAAACAAATGAAACGTAATCAAGCCTTATGCTATGCTCCAGTTAAATCACATCCATCATTATATTTACATTTAGGCCTAGAATAATCTGACGGCTTATGTTTGATCCAAACACAATGTGTTTGGATAAAAATTCCAGGTGACACTCTGTAATGTGCAGGCAGAAACGTGGATCTATATGCAGGGTTAAAAAAAAAATAAATAAAACAAGAACAAGGAAAGCACGAGGAACAAGGGCATTACAGGAGACAATGACTGACAGGACAAGTGAAACACAAGGGCTATATGTACACAGAGCAGAAGCAATTAACTAATCAGTAACCATGGAAACTAACTAAGGAGATGGGTGGGGTTCAATGATTGTCCATGACAAATACAAGGGGAACAGACAGAGCAGCAGGGAAACATGAGGGGAACAAGGCAACAATGAAACACAGAACTACAAACTAAGTCCAAAACAAAGACCATGGCAACCCTGACACCTTTGCTAGACCAGAGAGTTTTTACGACCTAATGGCATGTTGAGAGTCACCCCTCTCACTACAATTTCCATAGGAAATCCACAGTGCACAGTAAAAATGGACTCTTCTCTAATTAATTAATAGGAAAACCTGTGTGTGTGTGTGTGTGTGTGTGTGTGTATGTTAGACCAGTTTAAGTGTTTATGTAGTACGTTAGACTAGTTTAAGTATTTATGTAGTTTATAAAGCCTTACTTGTATCACACTTGACGTTGTTCATTGTTTGCTCATAACTGGAGTCACTCAATCATGCAGATTAATGCTACAAGCTCTTTGCAGAATTGTACAGTAAGAAAGTTATTTCCCTTAACCAGGAAATTAACGTTCTTAGAATTGACAGACAGTTGACCCTGAGAGGTCAAGTAAATATCTACAGCGGATCTAAATATTTATAATTAATTATAACTAGTTATGATTAATTATCCATATTTCCCCATGAGCTGATACGCTACATTTCCATTGATTTATGGTTTGTTAGTATATGACAATATTTGGCTGAGATACAACTATTTGAATATCTGGAATCTGAGGGTGCAAAAAAAAAATCTAAATATTGAGAAAATCGCCTATAAAGTTGTCCAAATGAAGTTCTTAGCAATGCATATTACTAATCAAATTAAGTTTTGATATATTTATGATAGGAAATTTACAAAATATCTTCATGGAACATGATCTTTACTTAATATACTAATGATTTTGGCATAATAGAAATATCAATAATTTGATCCATATAATGTATTGTTGGCTATTGCTACAAATATACCCGTGTTACATATGACTGGTTTTGTGGTCCAGGGTCACAAATGTGTTAATAGTGGAATTTGTTTCTTACAATCACATCTTAAATCGATGGACTGTAGTATTGTGAATTATTTTGATGTTTTTATCAGCTGTTTGGACTGCAGAGGATCCGTTGGTGAGCAAGTGATGTAATGCTAAATGTCTCCAAATCTCGTCCCATGAAGAAACAGCTACATCTTGGAATGCCTGAGTGTGAGTATATAACTGTATAAATATCTGGTTTGGTTTAGCTACCAAATCAGACATCAAGAGACTACAACAGACAGTCTGGACTGCTGAAATGATTATTAGTGCTCCAGGACATAATCCTTAAATATTTTCTGACTTAACCTCACTGCTTCACCTAATTATCTTTGTACATTTATTTTTCATTCTTTAATTTATGTGTACACAGGAACCTCCATTACTAAGAAAAATTCCTTGTTCACGCTTGGCAATAAAGCTTTTTCTAAGTACATTTTCAGCAAATTTTCATTTTCGTGTATTATCAGTGTAAATTGTTCTTAATAAGTATTTTGGGAAACATGTCATTATCTATGATAAAAGAGTCTTACCACAGCAGCAATGTCTAGCTGGTACACTTTATCCACTCCTTGTTTTCTGATAGTGACATTAGCCAAAAGCACTGCAGCACTCAGATAAAAGAATGGGCTGAATGCATGATATCCTACATCCTAAAGACAGAGCAGAAGTGGAAGTGTATGTCATGTACAGGGTTGTTTTCATAATGCAATACCCTTATTAAAACATTAAAATGTTATAGTCTAGGTCTACATCTGGTTTAATGTTGGTCTGAGAAACCAAACATTGAACATGGGAGCCCATGCAAAAAAGTACTGTAGTGGTACTAGGTAGTAATGTCCCAGTGAATTGCTTTAAAAGGAACATAAGTTTGTGGCTTTACCATGGTTTTTACTCATAGGATTTGGAGACTACCATGGTAATAACATAGTATTTATTACCATGTTGTCTCCAAAACGGTTGTCTCCTATGACCAAAAACATGGTAAAACCACAAACGTATGTTTCTTACCAAGCTAGGCCAGATGCTGCTCTGATTTATGCCAGTAATAAATATGAGGAACCAGAGAGTGGTGATAAGGAAGCAGAAAAGTGACACAAACATGACCCAGCCCTGAGGATTTGCTGGTTCCACTTTGGTGGAGGTCACTAGTGTCCACACCAATCCACCAAACACCTGGAAAAAACGAACACACAGCACACCTGAACACAAAGTTACTCATATAAAGACATGACTTCATTTACTGTATATAGACCTACAAACTCGCTAGGTTCACATTATTAAACAGCTGGTTACATTCATGGGATTGACAACAGTATTTTATAAAAAATGTGAATCTCAAACTGTCCCATTCACAAAGCAGCTTGCATACTGTATTTGTGTTAATTAAATGTAAATTCTAGTGTGTCTGCCCTCATCATCCGGCTCAAGCAGGATATTTCTGTGAGTCCTGCTGCTGTTTATCTAATTTAATGGGCGTGGCAGGAATTACTTATGAAATGATGCCACCTGATCTGGCAGCAAGGGCTTTTCACTGCATGGATCACTTTTCACTGGAGGAAATGTTCTGCCTTTACATCCATATGTAGATCAGTTATGGGACAGGTTATTCAAAAATGCATAACTGACAATGACTTTGATGCTCTAATGAACAAGTTTTTGTTTGTTGCATTAAATTAAGGATTTTTTTGGCACTTAAAAACATTACAGGTGGTGTAACTATATGGAGATTGTACTAAATAATTTAAAAAGTGCTGAATTTCTTGTAAAAACACTGGTTTATGTAATATTTTATTATTATTTCTTTCATTCAAATTAACAATAACGACATTCAAAACAAAACAAACAAACAAAAAAAAAAAAATCACAAAGTGGTTAGCCAATCCCAAATTGTTTTTGGTACAAATAATTTCTTAAAATAATTTATTCTGGTCTTGACTTACTGGTTTCTAAATACTTCTTGAATTTTTAAAGAGTCATATTGCCTTTCTCTTGTGTTGTTTCATGGTTTCATGAGAGACTGTCATGTAACCTGTCCATATAGACATTTATCTATCAGCTTCTACCAAATGAAAGATAATTTACACGTAAATACCAGAGAATAGTGTAGAGTTTTATTGCACACATGGTTTGTAATGACAACAACAAAAGATATGGGAAGGGTTTTCTCTTCCTTTTTGCTATCATAACTATGCGGTTATAAGGTTAGTGGCAGTGTATTTGCATTTGACATTGTTTTCACTGCGGTGCACCAACAGACCAGTTGAGAAGCCCTGTAATGGATCAGTAGGCTCTATAAACAGACGAAGTTGACTCTTAAATAAAACCTGCCCCAATAAAGCATTTTATTCATTTAATTTCACTGTAATTCATTTATTTCTCAGTATTCACAGCTTGTTTTGTATCTTGCAACTGAATGGATTTAGAGCGCTTGAAACTAAAGTTTAGCTTTGACACAAATCCTTAGCAAGTGTCAGAAACACAATACATGCCATTTCTCGTAAGTCTCTTAATTTAAATACATTTACAAGAAAAAAAAATAGATAATTGTCAATAGGTGTGTCACACAAAAGTTAATCCAAAACATTTAGGAAATAACTGCCTTGACTCATCTGACTGACATTAAATGAACTGGAATCTCAAAAAAACAAAACAGCGGTTTCACCATACACCATTTAACCTGGTTGTTAAATCTCCATCATCTCCAATGTTCCAGACACTTGTTACACTATGCTTTTAACCCTGAGCTTTATTCTGTCTCTCATCCAACTTTGAGACCCTCAGGATTAATTAAATTAGGTTGTTATTAATATAGTAATGAAATGCATGATTTGATATTGCTGATTGCATACTTACAAACTCTGGAATGAAGAGAATATCAGGCATGGTGGTGAAAATCTTACTGCCACTGGGCATCATGCTCACTGAAGAAGCCGTTGTGTCTGTGGTACTAAAGGAAATGTTAAAAACATGAGATGATAGATAAACTGAGACTTTTAAACTTCTTCCTTATCTATAACGTCCCTCCCTATCCTGTTTTCTGTCAGGGTTCGGGTAGAGGATGGAGCGAGGACTCAGTACTGCAGAGACATGGGCTTTTATTAATAATAAAAATAAACAAAACAGCAACAAAAACTACCCCGTGGGGGAAAAACAGGCTGGCAAGGCAATGCACGATCTGGACACGACAGGACACATCCGGGGAGAGATGACAACGAACCGACGCAGGACTGCAAACACAAGGAGAATAAATGGAGAGCAAATGAGGAGGGTAACGAGGGAACACATGTGGGGCAAATATCAAAGACATGTGCTCACACAAAACAAAACACAAGCCATGTGCTAGAACAAAAGACACGAACATGCAGCTAATGAGAAAATGAGAAAACCGCGTGTTCACACAAGACAACAAGAAAAGCACG